CCCATCTCCCAAAACATGTTCCTCTTGTCTTTTTGTTTATCCTCTTTTTTCCTCCTCCTTCCTTCTTTTCCTTTTTTCCCTTCAAGTTTCTTTTTCTGTGCTACAAACCACGCCGCCAGGAGCACCTTGGTTGCCCGGGAATCCCTATACACGGGGGAAAATATCAGAACAACTTCAAAACTTTTTCAAAAAAGAACAAAAAAATCCAGGCCTGCGGAAAATGAACTGAACAACTTTCGCCACAGGATCAGATCGCAATTTGAGGGCGCAAGTTGAGCAAACATTTAGGATGGTGATAGTTTCTTTTTTTCTTTTTCTTTTTTTTAATAGTGAGCTAGCTTTCCAGCCCGGGCGCCCGGGCCCCCCCAGGTCGCCCAGAAGGACGCCCGGGGCACCCGGCCGGGCGACCCCCCCGGGCAGGCACCCAGGCACCCTCAGCGCCACCCCCCAAAAACCTCAAAAAAAAAAAATTGGCACCGCAGGCCTACGGCCCAAAAGGGGAAAAAAAATTAGGCAGCGGCCGCGAAATTTTTCAGGGCCTGGTAGGCCCTGTTTCATGGCTTTTTTTTTTTTTGTGCCTTGGCCGTCGATCTGCGTCAATCCTCTTATTCTTAGTCTCTTCAGTTCTTTTTCCTCTTTTTGTTTCGTCTTCTACTTTGTCTTGCTCTTCTTCTTGTTGCTCCTCCATCAGTCTTTCCTCCCTCCACATAGTCGTCCTCTCCTTCCTCCACCATCTCCTCCCTCCACATCAGTCTCCCTCTCGCCCCCATCCTCCTCCATCAGTAAACCTCCCTCCACATAGTCGCCCTCTCCTTCCTCCACCATCTCCTCCCTCCACATCAGTCTCCCTCTCGCCCCCATCCTCCTCCATCAGTAAACCTCCCTCCACATAGTCTCCCTCTCTCCTTCCTCCGCCATAGCTCCCTCTCTCGTCCTCCACATCAGGCTCCTTTCCTCTGCCATAGTCTCCCTCCTGCCTTCTCCTCCTCCATCAGTCTCCCTCCCTCCTCCTCCTCCGCCAGAG